TTTTCAAGCAAGCAAAGCTGAAAAGAAGAATCAGACAACTGTAGATGAAAAAAAAATGAAGACTCTGATACAACACCAGTTGCCTGGTAAGGATTTAGACTCAGTCAATTGGAAAAGACACTCTCCAACTTATTGGCATGCCTGCAAGTGGTGTAGTGATCTCCAGTGTGCTTTTGTGAGCTGTCAGCCATGATGGGTGGGCTTTGATAATTCAACTGTCTTTGAGCCATTTCTGCTCCTATAAGGAACTTCTTACCCATATTTCTGTAAGCAATCCCAATGAAACTCACTGCTCACAAAGTTGGACTTTGGTGGTATCTGTTCATTTGTCTGTCACAGGCTCTATATTTGGGGTAAGTAGATGTTTGTGTATTGTCTCCACAAGAAAAGTTTTGTCACATAACAAAATTGTACATTTAACTTCATATTAATTATAATTTTATATTTGTAATGTTATCACTGGCCCTAAGGCCATGGGTTACCCAAATGTTGCCTCACTGAGCTAAAAGCCAGGCCCTTGCATTTTATTTGTGTTGTATTGTAGAAAGCTCTGATTTCATAGCTTTGAATTGCTTATAATCAGAGAGAAATTAATAATCATGATTTGTTAGTTTGATGTTTTTTGTTTGTTTGTTTGGGGGTTACTTGTTTCTGTTTGATTGTTTATGATAGGTGTAAGCGTTTTGCCGGGATGGGTCAGGACAGGATGGAGCAGGAGTGGGTCAGGTATTCTGGCACTCAGGAGTCACAGAATACTCAGTGTTACACAGCTCAGGTGGAAAGGTATCCTGGAGCTCGGGAGCCAAGGATACTGAGTGTTACACAGCTCAGATGTAAAGGTATCCTGGAGCTCAGGAGCCAAGGACCACCACAGGTTGCAGTAAGCTTGGCAGCTTACAGCCTTGCCTCAGAGAAAGGCTTCTCCGGTGTGTCAGCTCCGCTCCGGTAGGACAGGGTCTTCCAGCTGGGGATGTCTGCCTAGTGTAGCAGTTTTGCTCCGCAGGAGGTTTCTCGGGCGAAGTTGCTACAGTTCAGCTCTGCTCCTGGAGAGCGGAGAGCGGAGAGCAGGGAGCCGGGAGCAGAGTGTAACAACTCTGCTCTGCCAAGGAAGGTTTCCCGGGCAAGTGTTACAGCGCTGCTCGCTCTGCTCTGCTCTGCCCAGGGTCGCCTCTGCTCTGTCGCCGCAGCAAAAGAAGATCTTCACCCGAAGCTCATCCAAAGGTGTTTATTGGAAGACAGCTGGACCAGCCAAGCTGAACATACACAGGGTTTATATAGGGATTGGGGAAGTTTTTCCAGAGTAGGGATTGGTCCAATTTCAGTGCTGAGCTCAGATTGGCTAGAGCTCTGCTCTGGGATTGGTTACTTTTTTACACAGGATTAGGGTCAGATTTGGCTCTGGTTTCAGGGCCAAATTGTGTTTCTTTCTCTGGTCCTTTTTAGCCTTTTGCCTCCAACTTTAGGGCCAGGGTACATTTCTTTCACTGACTCTGATTCCAGGGACAAAGTGTGTTCCTTTGGCACTGGTTTTAGGGTCAGGGTACATTTCTTTGGTTGTGGTTGCAGGGCCAAAGTGTGTTTCTTTGGCTCTGCTCAGGGTGTGTTTCTTTGACTGGTCCCTTTTCCCTACAATAGGTCTTTAGAAAAAAAGTCTGAGCCTACTTCTGGGTTTGGAAACATACCAAATCCCATCAAACTCTAAACCCAAAGTTTCACCAAACTCTACCCTGGAAATCTACACAAAAACAAACAAACAGCAAATAAAACACCTATGTAAAACCAAATCCTGATCAGTCCCTACTGTTCTTCTCCAAGTAGAGGTAGCTGCATTCCTATTGTAAATCCCTCAAGGTGTATGAGTGGCCTGGCCTCACCCGAAGACTGATATAATTGCTGTCTCTAGCCTTTTGAGACACTGGTTGCCAAGTTCTGCCCTGAAGAAATAGAAAGCCCAAGATCAGGTCATAAAGTTACCTATCCCTGAGCTTGATCCAAGATTAGGCCACAGAATCCCACCAATTCCTGAGTTTTCCAAGAGATCAAGCCACAAAACTCCATCAATCCCTGAGCTCAATATCCCAGCAATCACTGAACTTGCCCCAAGATCAGTCCAAAAATTCCCACAATCCCAGGCCACCCTGGAAAGCTCTGCTCTCACCTGAAGACACTCTGTGTAAACAGACCTTATGCTCAGTTCTTTGCTGCTTCTCTCTCAAGCAAAGGCATCCACCCTTTTAAGTTTTTTTCAATAAATCTCATGTGAGGTTTGTTGTGCAGTGTGACTTTGTGATAATCCTTGACTCCCAGACTACCAGGATGCCTACTCTACATATGGTGTCAGCAGGTGGGATATGAATTTCCACATAGAATGACAAAATACAGGGATTTTAGAATCAAAAGAACAGAGAGAAGCCCAGCTTCTTGGTAGCATCATTTTTCTCAGGTAGGCTCTCTTTTGCTAGCAACACTGACTCAGCATAAGCAAACAAACAAACAAAAACCCAGTAAGTTTCTTTTAAGAGGTTATGCTAACAGTTGAATGGTATACATGAGCATCTGGCAGTAGCAGTGACCATATCTCCAAGCCAGCACCATGCTGCTGGATGTCAGCACAGAATGAGGCAGTGAGCAGGAGTCAAACTTACCCCTGCTATGTTGGAAATCCAGAGGCTGTTTCCACTTTTATTTTAGCAATGTTCTTTAGCCTATGTAAGACACATGGCCAGAAAAATATAAAAGCTTTATAGTAAAGTCAGATTCAGATGTAGAAAAATATAGGTAGACTTGGGAGAGTAAAAGAAACAAGAAAAAAATAAAAATAAAGTAGCTGCGTGTGGTGGCACACACCTTTAATCCCAGCACTGGGGAGTAAAACATAAACAAAGAGAGTAGCTGGGTGTAGTGGCACATGCCTTTAATCCCAGCACTCCAGAGGTGGAGGCACGTAGATTTCCAAAGAGATAGCCTGTCTCAGGGATAAATAAATAAAAGTAAAAGAAATAGAGTAATATAAGCGACGTAAAGATGAAAAATACACAGAGAGTCTGGATAGTGTATACTATTGGGTTTTTCAGTTTTGTGATTGCTAAAGGGGGAACAACTGCTAAAGACACTTAATCATAAATGCTGCTGAATTAATCCAACTCACATATTTCAAAAATGCTTTGACTTCTAGCTTTAAATGTAAGGACAGGTTACTTGGGAAAAGAGTTTTTGTTTATGTTTCCATAGAAAATGGAAAGCTGTGGATTCTTTCCAGGCTTCTGTGGTTTGAGGAACCAAGACTCCCAGAAGCAATGGCCCTGGTGATCCAGCATCTGAAACAGCTGAGACAATACAGCCTTAAGGACTACAAAAAAGGACTTAGACATGTTTCTGAGTTCTGACATGATCCCCATGGCATGGAGAGCACCCCCTATCAGCAGGAAGCAGTTTGAAATCAGCAACGTCCAAATTTCCATATTGTTTATAAAACTTTGTTTTCATTTGAATGGGGTTGCTTATAATTGGTTAATAATCACAACCAATCTCTTTTTAATGATGAAAGGGGTATTATTGTATGGAAATGAATACTCAGCATGGGTATAGTTTTTCATTTGTTGATACAAATTCAAGTTCAATTTTGTGATATATATATTTCTCCTCTTGATTGAGTATTGTGCTTATACTGATTTTTTAAAACATAATGCATAGTTAAATACAGACTATAGATAGTTACTTATAGTAGTCAGAATTTAGAGTTAGGTAAGTTGAGTTTTTTAGAAATATATTTAAGATAGATAGTCTTCAAACCTTTAAAGGCCTTCAGAAAATGGCATTTTAAAATGGTTTAGAGTTTTTCTTGACAATGAGAAGTGTCTGCTCCTGGCAGTACCAATTACGTCTGAGAGGAAGATGGCCATCGAAGAAACTCATTGTGGAGTTTACTTTCAACATCACAAGAATAGCCATTTGGGCAAGAAACTGCTCTTGCCTGGACTGCTTGACGGTTGCTGTATAAACTGGACATGCAGGGCCCATAGGAAAGTGACAGCTGAACTCAAACAGTCCTACAGGGTTCCTGCTTCATGGAAGAGTCTGCCAGACTTTCTGAAGGACACAGAAAATGACTGACAGACTGCCAATGTAGATGGGCAGCTTGAAATTTCCTGCTTTGTTGAGAAGTCTTCCAGACACACTGTGGCCTATGGGCTGAAGATGAATGCCCCAATGTTACAAAGGAATTTCTGGTGGCTGTCCAGGTAGCGAGATGTCTCTGTCAATTCTAGTGTTTATGTATATCTTTCTGTGGTCTTTGATGGAGTTGAAGACAGATAGTTGTAGTTATAGTTTTCCTTAGTTATGATAAAAGATAAGTTACATATAAAACTTTAGACTCACAAAGATAGGATAGATGATGTCTTCTTTAAATTTTACTAAATGTTAATGGACTAAATATTGTAACTATACTTCTTACTTGATAACTATGTTATTTTATATGCATTGCTTGACTATGTTAAAGTTAAAATCTTTCTTTGTATTTTAGACAGAAAAGAGGAGATGTTGGGAGATGTCATTCTGTAAAAATGTGTCTGATTGGTTTGAATAAGGCACTGTTGGCCAATGGGAAAGCAAGATAGGTGGGACTAGGAGTCGAGGAGGATTCTGGGAAAGAGAAACAGAGTCAGACACAATGTAGACTGCCAGAGGAGTAAGAGGTCCAGACCGTTTTCTCCGGTAAGAGAAATACTTTGGTTAACAATTATGGGATAAACACTTATGTCAGAGCTAGCCAGTAAGAAACAAGCACATGGCCAACAGCTTAATAATTAATATAGCCTCCTGTGTATTCATTTGGGACTGATGCAGCTCTGAAACCAGGCTGGCAGGAAGACAACACTTCACATTTCCTTTAGTTTACATTAAATGAGAATGAAGATTCTAGGAAATTCAACTTGTAGTAACACATAAACACTTATTTTCATTTTGTGAAAATATATTCTAGAGAAAACAATACTCACCATAACATGAGGGTAAATCAGACCAGCCATCAGCATTGCATGTTATGGAGCCTTTGGTATGCTTATGTTTGTTTTCATATCCAGCATAGCATTCATATTCTATTTTGTCATTGAGTTTAAACCATGTGTTGTTGTTTTTAGTTCCAGCATTCTCAAATACAGGTCTATCACAAGACTCTAATGCATAATGAAATAGAATATTTTATTTCTAAAGTGTCAATAGATAATCAGAGTAATTCCAACAAGAACAAAAGTACTTATAGGCTAATTTATTTTGGGCCAAAGAATCTTTCACTAGATTTAAAACTATGTTATATTTTAAAGTATTGAAAAGGGAAATGAATTGATATTCTAAATGCAGGAATGAGTCCAAAAGGAAAACCAATTAACAATGTGCATGTTTTCTTGAAGTTCGAAACTCATCTTTCAAATAAAATACCATCACCTAAAAGAAGAAACTCTTATACATCATCAGTATAATGGCAGCAATATGATGAAGTACTCACTAGTGCATGAGGGTTGAGCTGACCATCCATTTTGGAGGCAGGTAATTGGTCCTGATGTTTCTCCATCCGGTGTTATATATCCTGGCTTACACTTGAACTGTGTTTTTTTTATTTAGAGCATATGTATAATCAGATTCCGAAAGAAAACCATTCTCAATTTCTATATCTGACTTTGAACATGTCTCTAAAAGGGAAAATATTAAGAAAAACTTGAGTGTATAACAGTAGCTTAAGGATTCACAAGATAAAAAGATACTAAAAATAGCCATTAGTTGCCTGGCAGTGGTGGCACAATCCTTTAATCCCAGCACTTGGGAAGAAGAGGCAGAAGGATCTCTGTGAGTTTGAGACTAGTTGGTCTACAAGAGCTAGTTGCAGAACAGCCTCCAAAGGCACATAGAAAGCCTACTTTGGACCCCCATAAAAACAGCCATTAGTTATTTATATATGAAGACCTGGAATAATCAACATCATTTAAATTGCTGGGCCAAAGAAAACAAATCGTGGGTTTAAGGATAGTTCTCAGTTAAATTTTTTCTAATGAAGAAATAATTAAATTACTTATAAACTCTTCTAAAAATATATCAATTTTGGTGAAGTGAATCAATAATTCTATAGACTGTCATACAGTGTTTTTTTCTTTCATTTTCTATAATATTGAGAAAAAAAATGGTTCTCTTGGATTTATTGAATTCATTTCACCAAATTAGGGTTCTTTTCTTTTCCTTATTTTTTTATTTAACGTTTTACCCATGTAACTTTCAGTTCCCTCTCCTTCCCCTCCTCCTCTTCCCCAGTCCTCCCAACCCCCCACCCCCAATCCATCTCCTCTCCACTCCCCAGGGAGGGAAAGGGCTTCGATGAGGGATTTTGAGAATCTGTCACATCATCCCAGGAAGGGCATAGGTTCTTCCCCATGTGTTCAGAAATGAAAAAACTGAAGGCCTATTATTAGAAGATATGAGGTCTTATATAATAGTAATCATTATAGAAACTTGCTGGTGAATGTATAAACACACAAAGCAGTGGAAGAGAGCAGGGAGCCAATAACCAGAAACACATAAGACCAGAGTATATTTAGCAAGAACTATTGGCAAATACATAGAGTAAGATAGTCTTTTATCAAATAAAACACCAACAGTTAGGCATTTAAATATAAAGTCATAACCTTAAAATTTTCTCACACACATAAAAAAATTAACACAAAATTGATAATATACCTCAATGTAACGTCAGAATAACTAAGATAAAAAAAAAAACAATGACAGTTTATGCTGGAGAGGATGTAGAGAACGGGGAACACTCCTCTACTGCTGGTGGCAGTACCAACTCATACAGCCACTTTGGGAATCGGTATGGAGATTCCTCAGAAAAATGGGACTCAATCTACCACGAGACCCAGCAATTCCACTCTTAGGCATATAGGCAAAAGATGCACATTGATACAACAAGGACATCTGTTCCACTATATTTATAGTAGCATTATTTGTAATAGCCAGAACTTGTAAGCAGCCTAGATGCTCCTCAACTGAAGAGTAGATAGAGAAAATGTGGTACATTTACACAATGGAGTACTATTCAGGGGAAAAAAACAAACAATTGAATCTTGAAATTTGTAGGCAAATGGATGGCACTAGAGGAAGCCATCCTAAGTGAGGTAACCTAGTCTCAAAAAGATGAACATGGTGTGTATTTACTCATATATAGATTTTAGACATGGATCAGGGGCAGGCCAGCCAACAATCACACTGTCAGAGTGACTGGGAAAAAGAATCTTCATCCAGTGTCTGACAGGAGCAGAGGCAGACACCCACAGCTAAACACTGAACGGAACTCCTGGAATCCAGTGACAGAGAAGGAGGATTGATGAGAAAATGGTTCAAGACTGGGCTGGTTAACCCACAGAAAGAGTTGACTTGAGAAAGGGGGAGCTCTTGGACCCCAGACTGATATCTGGGAGGCCAGCATGGGACTGATCCAGAACCCCTAAATTTGAGATATGTTACACCAGCCACAATGACTAAAATCCAAAACACCAATGACTGTCTATGCTGGAGAGGATGTAGAGAAAGGGGAACACTTCATCCATTGCTGGAGGGAGTGCAAACTTGTACAGCAACTCTGGAAATCAGTATGGCAGTTTCTCAGGAAGATGGGAATGAGTCTACCTCAAAATCCAGCCATTCCACTCCTGGACATATACCCAAAGAATGCACATTCACGCAACAAGGACATTTGCTCAAATATGTTCATAGCAGCATTGCTTTTAATAGCCAGAAGCTGGAAGCAACCTAATTGCCCTTCAACTGAAGAATCAATAGAGAATATGTGGTACATCTACACAATGGAGTACTACACAGCTGGGAAAAAACAATGGAATCTTGAAATTCACAGGCAAATGGATAGCACTAGAAGAAACCATCCTACGTGAGGTAACCCAGTCACAAAAAAGGCAAATATGGTATGTCCTCACACATATGTGGCTTTTAGAGTAGAGAAAAGGATTATCAGGCTAGAATATGAATACACACCACCAGCAGAGCTAGAAAGCAAGGAGGACCCCAGGAGAGAAACTCATGGTACTCCAAAGAAGGTAAGGTGGACAAGAACCCTTGAGAAAATTGGGAGCAAAAGGGAGAGAGGAGGTAGAAGGGAAGAAGATAAGGGTAGAAAAGGGGAAAAGCACAGGAGAATTGAGACAGGTGAGGAATAGAAGAGGGAAAGAAAGGAGATATCTTGATAAAGGGAGTCACTATAGATTTGGAGAGAAGTCTGGCACAGAGCAAAAGGTAGGGGATTCACAGGGAAAATCTAACTAATAATCTAGGCAGTGATAAAGAGGCTGCCTTTGATGTCCTTTCCCTAAAATGAAATTGATGACTACCTTGGTTGCCATTCCTAAAACCTTGACCCAGTAGCTGATTGAAGCAGAAATAGGCACTTACAGCTGAACACTCTGGCATACTCCCAGAATTCAGTTGTGGAGAAGGAGAAGAGATGACCAAATGAAACACGAAAGAAGTGGAGATACCCGAGGAAACAATTGACCTGATCTAATGAGAGCACACAGATCCTAATTGTAAAATGAGGGAACCAGCATTGGACCAAACCAAGACCCCTACATATCTTATCAGACCACCATGCTTTAATGTTAGAATTCAACAACAACACAAATTGTAGAAACCCTACAAACTCATGGAAATTGAACAATGTGCAATTGCACCATTCCTGGGTCAAGGAAGAAATAAAAAAGTGGTGCACGCCATTAATCCTAGCACTTGGTAGGCAGAGGTAGGTGGATCTCTGTGAGTTCAAGGCCAGCCTGATCTAAAGAGTAGAAAGTATCTTCAACAAATGGTTCTAAGTGCATGCAGACATGTAGAAGAATTCAAATAGGTCCATATCTATTGCCATGCACAATACTCAACTCCAAACTGATCCAAACTTCAAAATAAAACCAACCACACTGAACCTCATAGAAGAGAAAGTGGGATGCATACTTGAACACATTGCCACCTGAGACCACTTCCTAAATACAATACCAGTAGCACAGTAATTGAAAGCAGCAATCAATAAATGGGACCTCCTAAAATGGAGAAGCTTCTGTAAAGCAAAATACACAGTCAACAATACAAAATGACATCCTATAGAATTGGAGATCTTCACCAACCCTACATTTGACAGAGGACTGTCTCAAGAATATATAAAGAAATCAAGAAACTAGATATTAAAATACCAAATAATCCAATTAAAAATGTGGTACAAATTTAAGCAGAGAATTCTCAACAGAACAATCTCAAATGATGGAAAGACACTTAAGGGAATGCTCAACATCCGTAGTCATCAGAGAAATTCAAATCAAAATTACACTGAGATAACATCTTACAAATGACAGAATAGCCAAGACTAAAAACACTGATGATAGCTGATTCTGAGGAGGATGCAGAGTAAAGGGGACACTCCTCCATTGCTGGTGGGAGTGCAAACTTATACAGCACTTTGGAAATCAGCATGGTGGTTTCACCGAAAATTAAGGATCAATCTACCACAAGACCCAGCAATACACCTTTTGGGCATGCACCAAAAGGATGCGCACACATATTACAAGGACATTTGCTCAACCATGTTCATAGCAGCATTATTCATAATAGACAGAACCTGGAAACAACCTAGATGCCTCGAAACCAAAGAATGGATGAAGAAAATGTGCTATATTTACAAAATGGAGTACTACTCAGTGATAAGAAACCATGACATCCTAAAATTTACAGACCAATGTACAGAAATAGAAAAAGCATCCTGAGTGAGGTAACCCAAAACCAGAAAGACAAATGCAGTATGTACTCACTAATATGTGGATACCACACATAAAGCAAAAGATACCCAGCCTACAATTCACAACCCCAGAGAAGCTAGAGGAACCCTCTTTCTGAAACAGATGATAGCAGATGCAGAAATTCACAACTAACCAATGGGCCAACCTCCTGAAGTACAATTGAAGTGAGGTAGGAGCAATAACATGAACAAAGAGTCAAGACCATGATGGGGAAACCCACAGTATCAGCTGACCCGAGCTAGAGAGTGATCACAGACTCAGGTATGACAAATGTGTAAGATTGAACTAGACTCCCGTAATATAAGTGACAATGGTGTGCCCAGGACAATATGTGAGGCCACTGGCAGTGGGTCCATGATCTAACACTAATGAACAAACTGACTTAATGGAGCCCAATCTATATGGAGAGATACTTTACTCAGACTAGACACAAGTGTGTGGGATGGAGAGGTGCCTTGGTTCTGGCTCAACAAGATGATGGGACACACATAGTATACTTCCTACAGGATATCTTACTATCTTTGAAGAGCAGGTGGGAATTGGGGGGTTGTGGGGGAAGTAGGACGTGAGGATAGAGAGGGAACTGGGATTGGAATGTAAAAACTTAATTCATTAAAATTTTTTAAAAAGAGCAAAACCTAAGGTGGAAAGATTTCCCATGTTCATGGATATGTAGGATTAACATAGTAAAAACAGCCATCCTGACAAATGAAATTTACAGATCCAATAAAATCACCTTCAAAAATCTCAACACAATTCTTTACAGACCTTGAAAAGACAATACTCAATTTCATATGGAAAAACAGAAAACTCAGGATAGCTAAAATGATCCTGAACCATAAAAGTACTTGGAGTGATATCACCATCAATGATTTCAAGCTGGACTATAGATATATATTAACAAAAACTTCATGGAATAAACAAAGACAGACTGATCAGTAGAATTGCATTGAAGACCCAGATGTAAATCCTCACATCAATGGACATCTGATTTTTGATAATGAAGGTAGAAATTTACAAGGGAAAAAAGGCCTCTTCTTCACAAATTTTGCTGGCTTAATTGGATACGTGAATATAGAATACAAATAAATTCCATTTTATTATGCTGATTAAAACTCAAGCTCAAGTCAATCAAACAGGTCAACAGAAAACCAGACACAATGAACTTCATAGAAGACACTGGCACAGAAGACAGTTTCATAAACAGAACATCTATAGTGTAGGCACTAAGATCAACAATTAATAAATGGAATCACATGAAACTGTAAGACAAAAGACACAATCAATAGGATAATATGTGAGTCTACAGAATGGGAAAAGATTTTTTTCTAACTTGAAATCCTATAGAAGGCTAATATCCAAATTACATAAAGAACTCATATATTGACATCATTGAACCAAGCAATTAAAAATTGGGTTACAAAGTTCATTACATCATTTGAGGAAGGACAAATGCTCTCTGCCTGTATCTAGGCTGAGCAAGGTGTCCCTCCATAGGGAATGGACTCAAAAGCCAGTTCACTGAGGGTTTGGGTGGAGAGAGTGGAAGGATGAGAGGGAGAGGGAACTGGGATTGTTATGTAAAATAAAATTGTTTTAAAAATAAAAACAGTTGGGGTACAGATCTAAACAGAGTATTCTCAATAGTGGAACTCAAATGGCTGAGAAACCCTGAAAGAAATTTTCAACACCTTCAACTATCATAGAAATGCAAATCAAAATGATACTGGGACTCCATCTTAATAAGTGTCAGAATGGCTAATATCAATAACATAAGTGGCAGCTCATGCTGGAGAGGATGAGGAGCAATAATACTCTTCCATTAGTTGTGGGAGTGCAAACTTACACAAAGACTTTGGAAATCAATATAGCAGGGCCTCAGAAAATTGAAAACCAATTTATCTTAAGGTTCATCTATATTACTCTTGGGCACATACTCAACAGTTGTTCCATCCTATCAGAAGGACACTCTCTCAACTATGTTCAGAACAGCTTTATTCATAATAGCCATAAACTAATCTAGATGTCCCTCAACAGAAGAATATATAAAGAAAATATTGAACATTTGCACAATTGGGTATTAGCTCATTGGAAAAAAGGACATCATGAATTTTAGATGGAAATGGATGGAACTAGAAAAACTCATCCTCATTAAGGCAATGTAAACACTGAAAGATACATATGATAGGTACTCACTTATAAGTGGATATTAGCTGTTACACGATGGATAATCATTAAAATCTACAGACCTAGGAGAGGCTAGGTATCAAGGAGGGCTCTATGGTGGATGCATAGATCTCAAGGAAAGGAGAAACAGGATAGATTTTGCAAGTGGACTGGGGGTGAGTGAGAATGGGAACAGGAAGGATCAGGTGAGGGAGAGATGGAGGGATGGAGGGAAAGTGTGCTGGGAGAGATGACTGAAATAGGGAGCCATTTAGGGGATGATGTGGATACCAAATGCAATGGAAACTTCCTGGAACACTTACAAGTGACCCTAGAGAGAATTCCTAGTAATGGAGAATACTGAGCAAGGGTTTCTGATGAGGGAAGTCCTCCTGTGTATGTTTGTCTTATTGGTTGATAAATAAAGCCTATTGGCCAATAGGGAAGCAAGACAAGTGGGACTAGGAGTTGAGGAGGATTTTCGGAAATGTAGTAAAGAGTAGAGAGTCACCATGTGATATCAGGAAGAGAGGACACATGAGGCTGGTGTCCTCGGTAAGAAATAACTTATATATATGTGTGTGTGTGTGTGTGTGTGTGTGTGTGTAGTTATGAGAAATACATAAGACAGAACTAGCCAATGAGAAGCCCCATGCATTGCCTGACAGCATTGTAACTAATATAGTCTCAGTGTGTTATATGGAATTAATGCGGCTCTTGGACCAGGCTTGTGGGCAGAATGGTCATTACAGATTCCAGTGGTGGGCCTGGGACACCAAAACTGTCACAAAACCTTCAACCCACAACATGTCTTGCCTGCAAGATGTGCTGGGACAGTTTTGGCTCAGAGCTTGTGAAATTTGCCAGCGGATGTTTGTTATCAACTGTGCCCTGAACCATAAGAGGGAACCCATGTCTGACACTGCTTAAATGGCCAAGGACAGGAAGCTGGCTGGCACAGAGACCAAGGGAAAAAATCAAACATAACTGACCAACACATTTTTTCTAAGTCATTGAAATGATATTCTGCTATACTCCTAGATTTATACCTAGCCCACTTGTCACCAGTGAGGTTTCCTCCCACAAGTAAATAGAGCAGATGAAGAATCCTACAGGCAAACATTGGGCTGAGCTTGGAGAACACAAAGAATGAGAAGGAAGAAGGAATGGAGAACACTAGGAAACAGCCCACAGAATCAACTAAGGAGGGTTTATAGGGTCTCACAGAGATTGAAGTGGCAACCACAGAGCCTGCACGGGTCTGAAGTAGTCACCTACATACATGCTGTGGTTATTTAGTGTGGGGATTTTGTGCAGTACCTAACAGTGGAAGTGGGAGTATTGCTGACTCTTTTGTCTGCTCTTGGAATGATTTTCTTATTACTGGATGGCCTCATCCAGCCTTGATATGAGGGTTTGTGTATTCTTATGTTATAGTCGATATCCTTGGGAAGCCAGCTCTTTTCTGAAGAGAAACAGGAGAAATGGATCTGGGGGAGAAAGGAGGAAGGGGAAAACTGGAAGGAGTGAAGGGAGGAGAGGGTGCTGTTGGGATGTATTGAATGATAGAAGAATAAATAAAAAGAAAAATAATAAAATTAAAACAGCAAACCCATGATGCATAATTCTGTTGACAGTATATAGTAGAAATGAAACACTATAGTAATAAAAAGAATATTTATTACCTAGAATAGTGGAGTTGAGATTAGACTGAAGAGGAAAGGAAGAAGAAAAATTCGTCTGAAGTTTAAGATTGGTTCTAGCTGAGGTTTTAGTTATATATATATATATATATATATATATATATATATATATAAATGAAGCACATTCATTTGTGAATGCCTCTGGCCTGAACATTAAATAAATGTGAACTGCTTCCTGAATAATGATGATGATTCAAAGACAACTCCTTGGAAAGTAAGCATAAAACTATCATTTATTCTAAGATATTTTGAGTTACTTGGAGAAAGAAAACCAAAGCAATATACTTGGCTAACACTTCAAAAAGGAAAAAGACACAGAAATATGAAAAATCTGTACTCTCATATAGATCAGCCAAATTAACAGAAAATCTAGGAAGAATATGTGAAATTAAATCGATGAGAAAAAGTAGTATGAAGGAGAGAATATCAAATAAAAATAGCACAGGTTTTAAATCTGTCACTAGTGCTAATTTTATAAAATTTAAATATGAAGATAAAAATTCTTAGAGCTAGAAAAGATTTCTCATCAACAAACTGGTACAATTGGAGGCAACTGACAAGTATTCAAAAACAGAATAAACTTTTAAATACATATTGCATTCACAAAGATTCAATATTAGATGATTATTTCAAAATTCTTCTGAAAGTGAAAGATAATGTCAATATAATCTAATTAAGATTATATTGAAGTTAGCAATCTGAAGTAAACAAAGAACACATTTGTGATATGTATAACTAAAAGATTAATTTTTAGAATCCTTACCTTTGCAGAAAAATAATTACAAAGTCATGAATTAGAAAAGACTGCATTTGAAAAAATTATAATCTTAAATTTTTTTAGAATTATATTTTTAAAACCCAAGTGATAATTAAAGAAATATCAACGCTATGGTATTGTCACATTTTATGGATATTTATTTTAAAAAGCATTTATATTTAATAATAAAGTATGACATAGCACAGTCAATTGCAAGGCAATATAACATGAAGAAATGGTCAACACAAACATATATTGTTACAGAAACATATGTTGGTACAAAGATTGGAGAAAACCATAAAAAGACAACCATGAACACTGTTCCAAAATTCCCTTCCCAGTAACACATCACAAACTAAGAGGCAATTACTACTATTTAACATGTCATGGTACTTCTTGTGTATATGAATGATGTCCGTGGCTTTGGTCATATTTGTTAATTTTTAATTATATGTTCATAATTGGTTTGAGTCAAATAATACAGTGATTTCAAAGTATATTGTCTAAGAGTTTAAAGCATACTCAATGTTTCTTGTATTATGTCTTAATGTGTGTGTACTAATATGTGTGTACTTCGCTACATACTTATCAAGAATCCCCAGTATTCATATATACACACTTGAAACAATGAAGCATTTTGTCCTGTTTAATATAAATGAGTTAGCAAGTCAAGAGCATCTTGCCATCTCAGAGCCAGTTACTTACTGACACGGACACATTTGGGTTGAGGAGACCAGTCATTCTCTGTACATGTAATTGTGTCCTGACCATTTGGAAGACTGTAGCCAGAGTGACACTTGACTTTTACAGACTGGTTCTGTACATATGTTCTTTGCCAGTATGGAGATTCACCATTCTCCACATAATAGAAAACACATTGTCCTAAGAATGATAAAAATGATAAATTAGAAAGAAAATAAATACTGTCATCTATTTGAAAAGGAACTAAGTTGAAATTTATCATTACAGCCATTTAGTGAGCATGTATGAAATTCAAAAATAAAACTAATACCAAATATCTAAAAGAGTAACTTTTACTTTAGTTTCATAAATAAAGTATGCAAGCAATGAAAATATTCTCATAACTCCTATTGTTTGAGTGCATTTCATGAAAAGCTGTTCACAAAGGACAGAAATTAGTCTATTTTGCTCACAATCTCTTCTGTTAGTCTTACTTTTGTCATGAGAAACTTAACTGTATTATGTATGTACTCTAGTCTTCCCACTCTTCAAAATAATTAAACAGATTTAATATGGACATTGACTTACTGAGGCATGGCACTGCAGGCTCCCACCCATTTGCGGTGCACTTCATGTAGTCCCAACTGTACCCAGAAGGAAGCACAAATCCGATGTCGCAGTAATAGCTGAACTGCTTGCCTATAGGTACTGGGAAGTAGGGTCTGCGGCTCTCTTCATAATGTAGGTGTCCATTTTTGATTTGTGGAAAATCACAAGGAATCACTTGCAATAAAAAAACAAAACGAAAAAACTCTCATATAGATAAACCACTTGATTGGTGAATTGCGTTCTATTATTTAAAATACCTGTATTAGAAGACAGAGTGTGCCCAGGACAAGGAAAGAAATAGAATTCAGACACCTGACATATGTGAGGACTTCCCTCATGAAATCGAGTTATATCTTAACGCTCACCAGAATAGTGGATTAGAGATATATGATAATACCCAATAGGATAACTGCTTATTTATGAGCAGTTGTATTAACTGGAAATGAAATACAACATGAACTCATCATACGGAGTTATTAATGCCTTGTCATATTGAAGTGCTACATTATTTATAGTATTAAGTTTATAAGTAATGCTTCATTAATTTTCCCCATTCAGTTTTTTATTTATAATTATTTATACTTATTTCTTACTTACAATTAGTACTTTAATAAAAGAATAACATTAACTTTTATATTATGTATGATTCTAGTTCAGTCAACATTGTGCAATATGATAAAAGTAATTTTAAAAAATTCCTTAAGCAACATGAATTAACTCCCACTGTCCAGGCATGGCTTAGCTAGTCTGTGTTCAAGAGTCACCTCTTCTGTCAGCCTATAAAGCTATACTTTTAACCATACGCTCTCCTTAGGACATTCATGAAGTTCAGATGTTGTGGGATGAATTTTGTACATAATAAACAGGTATCTTCCCATATGCATGTATGTATGGATCCCTGGGTACAGCTGTAACTGTCTTCAAGATGTGGTGGTCCCAGCAAAGAGCTCTTCCTTCATTCCTCTTCTCTGCACAGCTCCAGTCCAGGATGATTCTACCGCCAGTATTACAAAGGCCACCCCAGAAGACATCCCTTCCTTTGGGCACTGGGACTTATCCTCTAATACTTGTCAACATTCCACACTAACTGAAACGCACACCGGAACAATGGCCAGGCTGGTGGAAGCAACCACCAGGCACAGTGCCATACCCTGAACTCTTCTTTCCCTATCCACCTCCACCTGGTAACAGCATCTGCTCAGAGATAAAGTCTAACAATCCCACACAACCCCCCAACCATTCCTATGAAATAATAATCTCTAGAAAGTGTTAACCCTCTATTTCTACCATGTGCATTTTTACATTAATTAGTACATGTGGGCACATACATGCCACTGTACTTGTATGGTGGCTACAAGACAATTAGTGAATCAGTTTTCTCCTTTTATCATGTGGGTCATGGAGCACAAACTCAGGTCACCAGCTGAGTGGCAAGTGCCTTACCATCAGTCTATTATGCACATCTTCTTATTGTTTTGAGACAAAGTCTATGTCGCCCTGGCTGGCCTGGAACTCACAAGATCCACCTGCCACACTTAAAAGTCTAAAGACTAGATGTTTCCAGTAACACTTCTGTTTCCCTAGCAAACATACAGTGCAGTGCAGTAAATAAACTGTATATACCTATAAATAGCAATGTTTTGGTCTAGAACCTCTCCCATCTCTCTCAACCCAGTTTACGTAACCATTATTTTCTTTTTGTGGAGGATATTAACAATTTCACTTCCTAAGAATTTTCCCTATGAATTTAACACAACTTAAAAAGCACATCTTTTCACTAACTCTACTGTCACACACTGGCAGCCTCTTCACCATCTAGGAAAACTAAGTGCTGTATATTTGGACTTGTCGTCTTCTGTATACAGCACACATTGCACAAATAAGATGCACAGACAAAAGGACAATGGCTAATCTTGCATTACCAAAGCTTACATTAGTATTAGGCTCTTCATACACTCTCTTTCTTTGTCCCTCCCAAACCAGCACAAGTCTATATTGCTCAGAAGTGATCTTAGCATTCCATTTCCAAAAGACAGCATTTCACCACAAGTTTAAACAGGATAATCTACAACATGTATTATTTACTACATCTATCTTTAACATACTTTGTGCACTTCTAAACACCTAGAAGGCCTAGATGTTTCAGATGAGGACAGATATGTGTCCCCTATATACAGAGTAGTGTTGAAACCACACACATGTAACAATGGGTAGATCTCAAAGTGTCTTCTGCTAAGAGCATTCTGGTCTCCCACCTCCCCTGTATCACATGACACAGGACCTAACACTTGGATGAGATTTCCACAACCCCTTTCAGAAGACAACCTTGTATGACTTTAACACAAAGTATACAGAATGGGCTAGTTTACTTTTGTCATTCACTGGCAGCCCCTTTAATGCCTTCAAACTAAAGTTAGGACTCCTTTGTCCAGTATGTACAATATATACAGTATAGCAAGGCTAAATGAAATGTATATATGGGGTGATGGGTAAGCTAAAACTATCTAGAACACTAATGGAATCTTTTTGCAGTTTCTTCCCCCCACCTCCTCAATCCATTGTGGTACTGCTCTCAGAGGTGGGTTAGCAATTCTACTTCTAAACATAGTATCTCCAGTTTTTCAAAAACCATTTACACAAAGTTTTATTCTACTACTTCTGCTTTTAAATGTATCAAACACTTTTACAATGGTTATTATCTGAGGTATCTTCTAAATGTAACCATCTGGGCTTTGACCCACTTTCTTTTTTTTTCCCTTCTCTCTGCCTTCAAACCAGTAGACAAATACAGGCATATGCAATGCTTAGAAACTGGAACAAATTCGTATCCCCAAATCATTTACAGAGCAATCTTTCCTATAAATTTTAACAGTGTACACAATGTGCTAATTTTTTTAACAGTGTACACAATGTGCTAATTTTACTGCTTTATCAGCAACCTCTTTAACATTTAGAGACTAGAAGCTGAAATGTTTATACATATTTGTCCATTACATACAGTACACACACAGCAAATATATAGAAATGGCATCTGCGAGGTCCCTTATGAAAACACTAGTACACGACCTCACTGCCTCCCAGCACTTCCTCCAAAGCACTGAACAAGGACAGATGGAACTGCTCACAGAGGGGTTCATAATTCCACCCCAAAGGCAGCGTTTTGTGAATTTTAGCAAAAAGATATTTACAAAGTGATATTTTACTACCTCTACATTTAACATACGTTGGGCACTTCTAAACATCTAGACAGACCAGATGTTTCAAGTAAGGACTGTTGTCCACTATGTACACAGCAGCCCAGTAAACAGCACACTTATATCAAGAGTAATAATAAAAAAATTTAACACAAAAAGAAAAATTTTAACATAAAAGTACAAAATATTGTTCTACTACCTCTACTTTGTCATACACTGGCAACCTCTTTAACATCTAGAGTGACCAGATGTTGTAAATAGGACTCCTTTGTCCTTTATATAATTACATATGCTATTTACACAGCAAAGCCTAACAAAATGGGACAGTGGTTTCTTTTTTGCCCATGGAACACAATGACTTAGAGCTCTTCATTTCCTTCTCCTGGAAACCAGGGGACAAACACAATGTGGTCAGCTCGGGAGGGCTTTGGCTATTCCTCCCCAAACAATATTTCAAATGAATCCTAACAAAAGCGTGTTTACATAATGTATTGTTTTACTACTACTGCTACTTATAAAATATATCAGGCACTTTAGAGTATCACTGCACTACAGAGATGCCACACCTGCAATTGTACTCAAAAGCCCATGGCAGGGGTGTCATAAGATTGTGGGTATCATACCTTAATTCTGTTACTAAGATAAATAGACAAGGTACTCTCCTCTCTAGATTCTGTTCCCCACGCCCCACAACTCTTGACCTATGTGTTCTGAGCTCTTTGCTGGCCCCAATGCTGGGGCCTTCCATCACTCAAGTATAGTGCACACCAGTCAGAACAGGTGAGTGACCACCTACCAGAAGAACTCATCCCTTCTTTAGTTTCTGTATGTGAAAGAGTGGTTCTCTGATTCTTGTGTCTTGTCTTGGCCTCTTATTCTTTTGTTACTTTGCCTTGTCCAAACTCAGTGCAATGATTTTTCTTTTTGTGTATTATATTTCATTTGATTATTTTTTGTTGTCTCTTTTAATCATACCCTTTTTCTAATGAGTGACAGAAAGGGAGAGGATTTTTGAGGAGAAGGAATGTGGGAAAGAAATGGGAGTAGATGAGACAGAGGAAATTGTAATCAGGATAGATTCCATGAGAAAAGAACCTCTTTTTCCATAAAATAGTAAAAATAAGAGTCAATTGTAGCATAGATACATGATCAATAGACAGGTAGACAGATAGATCAATAAACACACAAGACAGATTAGAAAGCTGACAACAAAATATTATCAAATTGGTTGCAGAGAGTAACCTGAAGCAATAGATGAGGCAAGATGCTTTATTGCAGCCAGATGGAATTCTAAAGGGCAGAGCAGAGACGCATTGCATGAGACTTCTAAGTGAAAAAATTAACATAACAGAAAGACAACATCATCAAATTTGCTTGCTGATACCGAGCATGAACTGAAGAAGCATGTCTAATGCAGTCAGCTTGAGTTTGCCATCTAGATTCCTGGAGAAGCAGAGAAAACAACTGAAAGAGTGGCCAAAGATATCTGGGAGTGGGGGCAATTGGAAACTCCAGCTCACTGTTTCAACTTTCTTAGTCATTTTTCTGCTGGAAGTTGTGAATAACTCTTTTTGATCATGTGATCTCTATCTGTTGCAATTTGTTCTATTAATTAGCAACCTCATCCAAGGAGACTCTCAGAGGGAAAGTACAGAGACAAATGTGCCATAAAGTAAATCCTTAGAGGATTAGTATTGAGCACCTTGAGGTCTGCATTAATGTTTTTACCCTCTGTGTGTCAATTTGTCACTGGTTTATCTACCTCTTCTTTTACTTTTCTTTCTTTATTTTTCATAAACTCACTCATTCTAAAAGAAAAGTGTGAGTATTATAGGTCATTTTCTACATTTTACGATTACCAGATAGACAGTATCTATAATAAAATTGAATGGATTGAGTAGGGTATATTTAAGGATGTGTGGGGGGTGGGGGTGTATACACATGCATGTATAATGATTAGTGAAAATAAGGGCTAAGAGT